TCCTAGGGATCCTTGCGGAATGCTTGTCTTTCAATGTGAAGCCGTTCGGAACTGCCAGAAACTTCATTTTTTGCTCACGCAGCTTTTGAAATGCCATTTGAAGTGACATTAGAAGAGATATTGGTACAGCAAGGCAGGTTCATGCTTGCAGGTATGGTGACTCTTTCTTTTTATGGTTGCTTGGTGAGGTTCAACATATTGTGCACCTAATTCGTTGGAACTTGAACAGCTGTTTTATGCCTTCGGGCTTGACTGGACCACGTTCCCGAAGGGGAGTAACGCGCGACCTTTAGGAGTAGGAACTGAGTCCTGTTTTCAGTGTTTTTCTGTGTTTTCACCAACTAGTTCCCCAATGGTCCCCTATTTCATGCTTTCTTCCCTCCCCAGGTAGGTCGGGTCCGTCCCGTGCTGAGGTTTTTGTAGGTTTTCGCTGTGTCAGGTTGGTTCAGGCGCTTCCGTCTTCCCCCCCCTCCGCTGGTCTTGGTCCGTGTGCGTCGGCCTCCGCTTTTTTCTTTCCCCTTGCCTTTTCAGGGTTCGCCCGCTCCGGGCTAGGTGTGTTGGTGTGTGTTTGCTCCTTCCCTCTTCTTTTGCGTTCCCCTCTTCGCGTCCTGGTTAAGTAACTTACATCTCATCTTCACTCTCATCTCATTTTCATTTCCCGTTCATTCTCATCTTCGTCTCATTTTTACGCGCACCACCCTGCCGGAGGCAGGGTGTGTGTGTGTGTAACATCTAAATAGATGTAAAACTTCTCTCTCTTTTTCTTCCTTTGTCCTCTCCCTTTCTAATTCTAAATTCAATGCAGGGGGTGCCAGGGATCATTGCAAGTCTGGCACTAACAAAGACACTTGCCTTGATCTGTGATATCAGAAAGGGACGCCTTTCTGATGTACCTGCCAATTTTCGTAGGATGCATCGTTAATTTCATTGTCTCGTATCGAATCTGCATGTTTCAGGATTCAGTTCCTGCCGGATCATATAATGATCCATTCTTGTCTAGTGTGATTTCCATGGTGGCTCCGACATGGTGCCATGGAGCCATTTGAGGCAACCCTTTTTAGGGTGAGTGATGACTGTCCTGGCTACCGAATTTACACATTTTAATTTGGTAATTCGCTTAAGTAATGTGCAACAGATGGCCTTACTGTTATCCACCATTTTTGGAGATTCTCGCTGCTCCGGCTGTCCTTTGTGAACCCCGTGGAATGCATTTCTACTGAGTGAAGCTGTGCCGAACATTCAGAAACTTCCTTTTGCACTTGCAGCTTTTGTCATGACAGTGGCATTACAACATGCACAAGGATCCAGGCAGGCACACGACTTTCAGGTGTGGTCTTTTTTCTTTTGATGGTTATCTGGTGAGGTGAAACATATTGTGCATCTAATTCGATGGAACTTGATAGCTGTTTTATGCCAATTGGGGCAAGACTTGACCACGGTCCCGGTGCAGGGAATAATCGCACGAACAGTAGGTATAGGAGCTGAATCCTGTTTTTAATTAATTGTTTTGGTTCTCTTGCCTGTCATTAACTAGTCCCCCATTTGGTCCCTAATTTTCCCCGCGTGCCTCTCCGTAATGTGTCGTGGGGTTTAGGTGTGTGCGCTGTTTTTGGTCAGGTCCGTTTCGCCGTGTAGGTTGGTTCCGGAGGTCCGTCTGTTCCCCTTCCCCCCCCGCGGTGTTTTTGGCCGTCTGCCCGTCGTGTGTCCGCTTTTTTCTTCCTCTTGCCTTTCAGGGTTGACCCGGCTCCGGCCGGGTGTGTGTGTGTAACATCTAAATAGATGTAAAACTTCTCTCTCTTTTTCTTCCTTTGTCCTCTCCCTTTCTAATTCTAAATTCAATGCAGGGGGTGCCAGGGATCATTGCAAGTCTGGCACTAACAAAGACACTTGCCTTGATCTGTGATATCAGAAAGGGACGCCTTTCTGACGTACCTGCCAATTTTCGTAGGATGCATCGTTAATTTCATTGTCTCGTATCGAATCTGCATGTTTCAGGATTCAGTTCCTGCCGGATCATATAATGATCCATTCTTGTCTAGTGTGTGTGTGTAACGTCTGAATAGACGTAAAACTTCTGGTGCCGTCGGTACCATTCGTCTATTTGTATTATATTATATATTATGCCATAATTTATTGCAGGGGGTCACCGGGGTCCCGGGGGGGTCGGTGACCAATGAAGACACCTCCCCGGGACCCGTGAAAACGTACCTGCGGGACTGTGGTGGCGCACCTGGGCGCATATAAGTCGCAGCTGGTGGCGCCACCATAGTCCCATATATTTATATATATATATTGTATATATATATAACTAACTAATTTAATTGCATGTTACAGGATTCAGTTCCTGACGGATCTATTCAAAGATCCATTCTTGTCTAGTGTGTGTGTGTGTAAAAGCTTCTGTGGGTAAAAGCGTCTGTGTGTAAAAGTGTCTGTGTGTAAAAGCCTCTGTGTGTGAAAGTGTATGACGCATGTTATTTCACCTTATTATGGAATATCCCACATAAATAGTCCAAAAAAGCTCGGTACCATGATGCCGTGCATGACACATGTTATTTCATTTTATTATGTAAAATCCGACATAAATGGCCCAAAAAAGATCGGTACCATGATGCTGTAAATCACACATGTGACAATACTTCACTACTGAAAAATGTCTGCAAACGTTTGCAACAGAGCTCGATGCCGTCATGTGCTTGATGTCAAAAACAGAAAAGTTTGATTTCAGGACCATAAAATGTCATTGAGCGGCACTCGTCAAAAAACATTATCGTTGTATGGTCACAACCTTGGTGTAGCGCGCATGGTCTGAAAGCAGTTGTATTGCTGTAGTGAACGACATAATCAATTGAATGCCAACACAGTAGTTACAGTACTTTGCTCGAGAAATGTTTACACTTGTGTAAACGCGCCTGTGGGTAAAAGTGTCTGTGTGTAAAAGCGTTTGTGTGTAAAAGCTTCTGTGTGTAAAAGCGTCTGTGTGTATAAGCCTCTGTGTAAAAGCTTCGGTGTGTAAAAGCCTCTGTGTGTGAAAGTGTGTGTGTGTGTAAAAGCATCTGCGTGTAAAAACGTCTGTGTGTAAAAGTGTCTGTGTGTAAAAGCTTCTGTGTGTGAAAGAGTGTGTGTGTGTAAAAGAAAAGCGTGTGTGTGTAAAAGCGTCTGTGTGTAAAAGCCTCTGTGTGTAAAAGCGTCTGTGTGTAAAAGCGTCTGTGTGTAAAAACGTCTGTGTGTAAAAGTCTCTGTGTGTAAACGCGTCTGTGTGTAAATTGTCTTGATACCACTTGTCTCGTCTGCCTATAATATAATACATCTTTAATATATTGGCTTGTAATATAGTGTCTCAATACTAACAACAGAAGACCCTGCTCCTCTACGCTCTCGGGCCATCCGTCGTCTAGTTTCTTGCTGAAACCAGAAAATGGCAACTAGTGACGCTGCTGATGACAGACACGAAAAACTTGTGCTCCCAGAATAATGCTGATGAAATTCATTCGCTTTGTAGCAAGGCATCATGTAGAGAAGACCAAGCAGCGTAGCATCATGAAGACAAGACCACACAGCGTAACACGATCTGATGTAAGAACATTAAGCAGCATTACATCAGTTAGGGAAGGTCAAGCAACGTAGTTTGACGTAGGGAATCATGCAGCGTAGCATCATGAGGACAAGACCGAATAGCACAGTATAATACAAAGCACGTTAAGCAGCATCACATGAGGTAGGGAAGCCCAAGAAGCCTAACAAGAGGTAGAGAAGGTCAAGCAGCGTAGCAGCATGAAGACCAGACAAAAAACTCAACAATATATAGAGAACACAAGCAACATAACAAAGGAAGGTCAAGAACGTATAGCATGAGGTAGAAAAGATCAAGCAGCGTACCGTCTTGATGACAAGATCAAACAGCATAACATGAGACAGGGAACACCAAGAAACATAACATACGGTAGGGAAGGTTCAGCAGCGTAGCATGAGGTAGAGACAATCAAGCAGCGTGGCATTATGAAGACCAGATCGAGTAGCATAACATGATTTAGAGAAGGTCAAGCAGCATAACATGATGCAGGGGAGATAAAGCGGCAGCATGAGGCGGAGAAGACCAAACAGCCTAGCATCATGCAGGCCAGATCAAAAAACACAACCTCATGTAGGGGACATCAGGCAGCACAACATGAGGTAGTCAAGGTCGAGTAGTGTAGCATCGCCAAGGCAAGATCAAACTATCATAAATCAAAGATCTGATGTCGAAAACACCACAGTGACAAGGAGCTGGTGGAAGGAGAAAGAAGGAAGAAGAAAAAGAAGGTAACCTGAGGAAAAAGGAGTCGCACCTTTCATGAAAAACTAGAGACCCTCACCTGGCACGTAGGAAGGCATGGGAATTTTGACAAACTGCTCGTAGTTGATGGGCTCAAGCAAAGCGTTAACAAAAATTCAGAGCATTAAGCAGACGTTCCGGAGTGGTTTTAGTTTTTTTTGATTTTGAAGATCGTCCCCGGGAAAGAACCGTACTGGAATTTTTACAAAAAATGTGGGGAACTTCAAGCTACTGGTCTCGTACGTGTCCTGTGATTGCAAGAAGGATTGGAACAAATTATTCGCAGTATCCTTTCTTCTTGTACAGATTCTGTGGGATTTAGTGCCTGTCGATTGCTGGGTGCTAAAAGGAATGTGTATTTGCCAATGCATGTGAACCGTCTGTTTTTTGGACTCAAACAAGGTCTATGTCAGCTCCGTCCGGGATACCGATGAGAATACAATAAAGCCAAGTTTTCAGCTCTCAAATTTGACCCTTTGTGGCACGAGTAGACTACTGTAGCCAATAGGTAGGTCCCAAAATAGCAGATCATAGTGATAACTGTTCTCTTATTTGCAAACGATGTCTCCGTTAACTTTCTTTTAGCAGGGCCAATTGGGTAGTTGACATTGCCGGGTGTCTCATGAATTCAATTGTCCTCCGGTCACAAAGATAGCCCTCATTGATTGTGTTGTATGATGACTCCATGCAGTGCTGTTCGAACGCATGTGCATGCATTTGCTTCCTCTCCCTGCAGGAGGATGAACGTGAACGTTTGCAGAAACTCTCCTTGGAGCACCAGAAGAAAAGCGTCGCCCCGCTGCCGGTGGTGCGCCTGTACTTTGTAGGCCGAGGGCGTGCCGGCAAGACCACAACTCTACGGCGGCTGAAAGGCGAATCATTCCGAGACGATGAGCCTTCCACACATGGTTTGGATGTTTGGGCAGGTCAGGTAGAAGCAGATCTACAAGCGGATTCGAAGCAAACGGGCCCATGGAAAAGATGGGAGGAATCGATGTACCTCAGTGCCTTGAAGGACACATGTTCATTTGGCCTGCTTGTGAAGTATTATGAAGCATTCATGTTTTCTTTTTAAGTTCCCCCTGCAAGCAAAGTGCATACATTGTTTTTGTTTGTATTAAAGGGCTCGTGTTGATTGCATGTGCCATCATTTTGCACCGCATTACCAGCAGTAGCCTTTCAGCCCTGCTTTACTTGCAAACATTTGTGTCGTTGCTAGTCATAATTGATTTCTTTAGTAACACTTGCCCGCGCAACATTGATGTCTACATGTTGCAGAGAGGACGGGCTTCGGAACCCACTGCTAAAGGCAAGGAAGTACATGTTTTTGTCGCAGATTCAAGAACTTGCTGTGCATGCCAGCCGTCGAAAGATTCAACAAGGAACCGTACAGTCATAGAGAATAGACCGGCCAAGTCGGTGCAGAGGGTAAGCAGCAGCAGTCCGTGATGTTTCAGTATGTTTTAGTTATTCAAGGCAATTGTTGTATCAGTCGTTGCTCAAGTTGGGCACTGTTTACTGACACTGTGAGCCAGTGCCAAATTGTCGTTGTTCATATTGACTATGATCGCTTTATTTACGGTTTCATGGTGACGTTCTTAGTTGCGAAAGGATAGGGAATGCCTCAAAAACTACAAGTTGCTTGTACGCCCAAAGTCAAGTTATATATATATATAATGATATATAATGTATAATAATGTATATGTATTGTTGGGAGTCGAGGTGGTTTAGTCTCTCCGCTGTTCGCGATCTCATTTTTATTTCTTGTCCAAGACGAACCCTGGATGTTTTTGCAATGGCTTTCCCTTTTGTACTTGAAGCCTGAACTTCAGAAGTTGCAGTGCCACAAGACGCAACCCAATGATACCCTTAAAAGACCATTCTGCATGCAAATATGACCACCACGTCGTCAATGTGCCTAGAAACTTCTTTCTGTCCTCTTCCTCTCATCAATTTCTGTTCCTGTCCTTTTCCATGTTCCTTTCCTCTTTCTCTCCCTGCCTCTTACTCTTTCCTTTCCCTTTTTCACCCAGTATTTTTATCTTTTCGTTTTTCCCTCATCTTCTCTGTAATTTGCTTGCCTCACCTCCTCCTTTTTCGTCCCTCTTCCTTTTGTTTTCCTCTCCTCTGTTTTTCCCTTCCCTGTGCCAAAGGAAGTTGGGTACGCCATGCCACTTTTTTCCATATAGGATATGCCCTAACGAATACAGCCCGAACACACAATTTTGACGCTGGCTCATATTTTGACATTGTGAATTGTTTCAATGTTGTGCAACATGTTGCTTTGTGCGCAGGGCCCAGAAACAGACGCACTCACCGCGCAGAATGCTGATGAACAACCAGATGACATGTTGGAACGTCAAGGGCTTATTGAGCCAGAAGCAGGGTCGAAAGACGATGAACAGGCTCAATCAACCCAAGGGCTTAACGAGCCAGAACATGCCACCTCTGTTGCAAGCCAAGGACCGAAAGCCAATCAACCAGATGCTCTTCTAGAGAGTTCGGCCGCGGCTCAACCAACCCAAGGGCTTAACAAGCCAGAAGAACATGCCACCTCTGTTGCAAGTCAAGGACCGAAAGCCAATGAACAACCACAGGAAGACATATCCTCTTCTTCTGGACCCAAGACGCGCGTGATTACGATGTCCACACACCCGCGGCATCCCTTCCTACGCGTGAGGCGTTGCTGATGGCTTATGGCTGGTGATGGGGAACTAGGGAACGGAGGGGGAAGCTATTTTAAATGCTATTGGAACCAGCATCCAACAGATTATCATACTGTTTTCTCTTTTTAGACAATTTTTAATATAATGGCATTTTTTAGATAATGGAACATGGTGGAAACATAGGGAAATAATTATACTGGATGGAAAATAGGGAACCACTTAACGGGATCTAAGCGCGGGGTGTGGGATGCATGATGGATGAAATTAAGATGAAATGCCTGAAGCATATCAAGTACCAATGGGTTTCTTTGAAAATGGTGTAACCAATGCAACCACCGTCCAACAGATTATCATTAATATACCGTTTTCTCTTTTTTAATGGGTTGTTTGTGTTTTTTTTGCCTCTTTTTTGATATACCCTCTGGTTATTTAACATAGCCATGGTATAGATGGCCCATGAAAATAGATGGTTTACCTATTAATAGCATGGTGGATCTTTCCATGGCAAACTGTTAGTCATAACCACATGGTACTCGTATCCTTAAATGGAGGGTTGTTGACAAAGATCATCTGTTTATGTGTGATTCTTACCCTCTGGTTATGACTAACAAAAAGCTATTGAACATGGCCATAGAAATAGTGAGTTGTCCCATGAAAAATGGTGATTTTCCATAGTTATGGGACAGTTTACCAGAGGGTAGTGAAAAAAATCAATGGCGGTGGAGGGGATATATGATCCTGCTCCATGGAAGGTGGATATGTGTTGCAAAACTGTGATAGGAAAGCAACGTCGACTTGGGAGAACATGGGTTGGAAAGGAAGGCTTGAAACTGAATGGAAAAGGGAAAATGAACCTATCCCTTTTGTAGATGATTTTTCCAGCTACAGACTTCCATGTCAAAGGGATTTCCCGGCCATGTTTGAGGACACCGGAGGGTATAAATATGAGGAGGTTGAGCCCTACTAGTTGAGGGGATTGAGCCTGTGTCTGGAAATTAGCATGATTCAAGAACAAATGTGGATCTATAAAAGATCTACATTTATATATATATATAAGAACTTTCCACCATATTTATCATCAAATAATATGCCTGCTAGATCTGAAAGCATACAAAATCCAAAATTTCATGTGTCACAAACAGGAAAAAAGAAACTTTAAAAACCAATGTAAAGCTTAAAATTTACATTTGGCCACTGTGCCGTGCGCATTCTGTCAATGTTTGAATTGAAACCCTTTGTTGGGAACACGAAAACGCTGCAAATACCATCAAAATATGTCATTGTATCTACACATGAAGCATCATGACTCATCGTGATCAAGCATCCAAAGTCTTCAAATGAATGAAAAAAATGTTGGCTGCTTTTGAAGGCAAAAACCAACAAAAATCACAGTAAAACACAATTAAAAAAATGAAAACGGTAGGTTTCAGTGGGGGTTAGCATATATATATATATATATACACAATACATTGCATATATATATATATGTATGCATGACACATCTCCTATAAATCACCTGACACATTTGGAGTTTCGAAGCAACTTGGCCAGGTCCAATTTGGGCGACCCGACGACTTCACAACCGGTGCTGCAAAAATCCAAGTTCCTCGGTGCAAAGGTGGCTGGAAAATCCCTGATTTTTCTGAAGGCTCTAGTAGGACATGTCCTTAAAGTCCTTACGTATATATATATATATGATATAAATGATATATTTTCCATTGCCATGTTTGTTTACCAAATGGTAATCGGTAAAAGGATGGAAAAACAAACGCGTTACTCTAATTTGGGGCAGGCAGATGATTTAAATGACCACGACTCACGATTAGTCTATCAAAGACCAGAGAAAACAACGATTTTTTTTACTATTAGCTATTCCAGGCCCAAAAACATCTTATCCAGACTGGAAACGATCCATAGAATCACTTTTACTTGTGTTGTTTTTTCCAGCTAGCCATGTTTAAATACCAGAGGATACCCCATACCAAAATTGTTGTTGTAAGATAACAAACAATGGTCGGTGATTTCATGAACACGTCCATCCTACCGATGATGAATTGATTCACTAGATGTTTCGAATCGGCAGATTCGGCAATCAACTAGAATCATACACAGTCTGAATTAGAGGCTATATAGCCATTCTATATACATAGATAATGGCTATATAGCCTCTAATGCATATATAGCCTCCAATGCCAATCCGCTCCAATCAGTCTGAAACTTGCCAAAAAAAATCGATGACAATCCCTTGAGATTAGGAAGTTGGTAAAATCAAGTAATATCATCATTCACCCAATGACAATCTCAATGATAAGAGGTATACCTGAAATCCCAGTGGTAAACTTAGGCTCCGAAAAGCGGGCATTGATGTGAGGCTGCAATGCTGGGACTTCCCGGGACAAGAAGAGTACGCCCTGTTGAACCAGCTTCATTTTTCAGAAAGAGCGATATACCTGGTGTTTTTGGATTTGACTGGGCAACTTGAGGACGAATGGAGGCACCTGTCTTTCTGGCTTTGGAAAATTGCCAGGTTTTCCACTGAGAAGGATGCATGGCCTCCTATTCTCCTGATTGGCACCAAAGCAGGAGCGCGCAATAGATGCGTCACAGATTTGGAGCTACAAAAGCGCCTGGAGGACTTGCAAAGCAGAGTCCCCCGCTTGAAAGAGCAGCTGCAACCCCATCCAGCGAACTTGGGAAGCAAGTGTCCCTGGCTATTTCCAGTTGAAAACAAGGGGGAAAATTTTGAAGCCTGGCTCAGTCCTTTGCGGATGCAACTTCAGCGAATGGCCCTACAGTTTGTCTCGCCGCGTGACCTTTGGGAGGCTGAGAACTCGGACGGATCTGTGGTGCCAAGATTTGTTGGTTTGCAGGCGGAGACCTTTCCCTTGACGTGGCTGCGAGCACATGACTTGCTGACGCGGTTGGGGTCTGGATTCAGGCAAGAAGCTAAAATGGTCAGTCGGCTTTCAATTGGTGTATACAGTTTTAGAGAACCGAGTCCGTGCTATTCAAACTGGTTGTGTAGTAGTTTTAAGTGTTGTCATGCCTCATGCTAGTGTTTGCTTATCATGGCTGATCATGTCTGTTGGCTGTGCCTATCAGGGCAAATGTCCATGAGAAAAAAGCTCTCTGGTGGTTGTTTCAGACATTCCCCCCGGTCAGGGCGAGAGCTGAGAGGGTCGATGTCAAGAAGGTCGCGCCAAGTGCCGAGCCCGGGCAAAGGTTCAAGATCAAGGACTACCTGCGCGTGACCATAGACAAGGACTGGCTGATTTTGCCGCCAGGTGCATTTATCAGACTTCACAGCCAGGACGAACAGGATGATCTTAGAGAGGAAGAGCTGAGCTTGGATGTTTCGTGTGACTTTCTCGAGCTGAAAGCAGTTCAGGGACTACTCAGAGGAATGCAACCGCAAGGCTTGTCTCATCAGGACACGGAGAAGGTCCTGAAGTTGCTGAATACATTGGGAATTGTGGTGTGGATCGACAAACCCAAGCTTCAAGACACTGTAATGTTGAACCCGCGGCAAGTTGCAGTGGCGATGTCAAACTTGATAAACCTTTGCTTTGGCGTAGACAGCTTCGAGCACGTCAAGGCCAGTGACCTTGCTCGGTTCAGATCCAGTGGTATTGCATCGCACGATTTGATCAAAGCAGTTTGGAAGAAGGACGCGGTTGTTGTCACCACAATGGAGCGGCATTGCATTTGAAAACGACCTGAACCGGCCAGAACCCTCCACAAAACAAAACATTTGGGCCGGTTTGCCTTTTTGCTGTGTTTAGGTAAAACTGCTGTCTCTTACGGCAAGTTGCCTTTTTGTTTGTATTTTCTGCGACTGCATCACTGATCTTGGGATGGCTACTGCGTTCACAAAACCAGAGGTCATGCACTGTTGCCAGTGGATTAAGGAGTTGCTTCACAGAAACAAGGACCGGTCTAGGCGGTTCTTTACCAGCATCCACAACGTCTATTGGAAATAAACATGTATTGTGTTGTATTGTATCGCACACAAGATGGAGAAACTGAGGAAGAAAAAGAGAGCAAACAGAGGACCGGAGCAACTACTCCGAGTTGTTTTTACGTACAGTACCAAGTACAGGAAAAGATAGCCTGGGAGGAGAAGTTCGAGCAGATGGAAAGGGTTGATTGTGCTGTCATGGCCGATTGCCTCTGTACCCCTCTCTACTTTCTTACAGCGCCAAACAAGACTTGCGTTGCATCTTTGAATGAGACATATAGTTTATTCGTGGCATAAGCCGTGCCAGCTTCAAGGCAGAAAACCAGGTTTGCGCCTTTTTCCAGGTCTTTGCGCCCGTTTTGCTTTTTGTTTTGGTGATAGTTTTTGTGCAAATATATGTTTTGTCATAGCTGTCCTGCTAGGACCAACCGCTTTTCTGCTCCTGGTCTTGACAGTGTGGCAAGTTAGCAACTTTTGACATCGCAAGGTAAAAGTCAAATAGTTGGGAGGTGGCCAGCTCACGCTGTAAAATATGACTTGGCTGAGGAAGAAGTTAGATTGAAGGTCAACAAAGTCCACATTGCAAGGTCATTTCCTGATCTGCTTTTTAGCCACTAAAGTCACTAAAGTCTGCTGATGTACTTCCACTGAACTTTTCAGTATCACATTGCTGGCTTGATGTTAGCAACATTCAGCGACATCAATGTTCGATAGCCATGTGTCACTTTGTTGCGATGTTTGCCACAAGGTTGATCATTTGTCGAATTGATAGCAGGACTTTGGCCACGCGCACCAGCAGCTTCTGCAACATGTCTTAGTCCGGAGAGACCTGATGCGTGAACGACTTGTTAAAGGTGAAATTGTGCTGCCGAACTGTTTACCTGTAGCACACTGTGCTGAAGAGGCATTTCGAGAGACAGATGAAGTCTTGTATTTGGATGTGGGTGGTTTGCTGTCGCCGAATTTCTTTCCGGACTTGGCACACCTGATTTATCGCAATATCAACTTTGAAAATTCACCGACGATCTGGAAACCAGGGCCACCCCAGGTTTTCCGAAATCGAGGCGATCTTCACTCTGACACTCATTCGGTCTTCACATCTATGTTTCCGGTCAATGCGCCCAGCAACCAAAGCTTGTTGCGAATTTTAGTCAGGGGAAAGGACCAGAAAGCCAACTGTGGCATTGCACAAGAGGTGAAGAGGGTGTTGCTCAATGACATCCTGGGATTCGATCCGGAAACGGAAATTGATGTAGAGAAGGATCCCAGTTCCTTCTTTGGGTTCAAAGGTGCCAAAGACAAAGGGACCCTGGAACGGGAACGCAGCTTTGCTCGCCATCCTTGCTTGAATTCACAATGCAACCTGACATGCTCCCTCTGCAGAGTGTCAGAATTGCTGCAAGAAAGGTTTCTTCCTGACTTAAGTCCTGGCCTCCGTTCCATTGTGGAAAATGCAGCCGTCCAACGACACACCCGCCCTGCTGGCAGCTTTCGCTTTAAAGCCATGCAGTTCCCAGGTGATGTTGATCTGGAAGAATACTTGGTAATAGATGCCAAGAGCAAGGATGAGGCTTTGCCCACGCTTTGCCGTACTATTCAGAAGATGTTCGGGGGCTTGTCTGCTCAAAATTCAGAGGTTCAAGTCTTTATGGGAGGACTCAAAGCCGGCAGCAAGCCCAGACAACGTCCCTGGAGTCCAGAAGGAATGGCTGAAGTGGTCTCAGCAAGAGCTGCGTGATGAAACAAAAGAAATCCGTAGGGGTGCCAATGCAACCCCAGTGTTTGTGACACTCAGCAAAGCATTGGAGGAGGGTCACGAAACTTGGACAGCCAAGATTGACATGTTTGCGAAGGTGCGCCTCTTTGCAGATTCGGAAGCAACGCCCCGTTTCTTTGAGATCACTAACGTTCTGCGAGCTGGATACTTTGAAGGATCGAAGCCCATCCAGCCTATCACGAAAGAAAAAGACTTTCTTCAGGCAGTTAAGATGAACTTGACGAAGTATTCTGGTGCGGAACCCAATGCCATGAAATATGTGAAGCGTCTATGGGAAAGGAGTGCCTACTTAGCGGAGCGCGGCTTTGATTTGGATTGGCACGCGAATATGCTGGAAGCTCTACGACCGCTGCTTAGTCACTGGTCTGCCGAGCTAAGTCAGATCGCTGCGCATGTCGAAACCCTCATTAAGATGATGAAGTCTGGCAGAAGTGCTATGATTGAACATGCGCTCGATGACCTTCCTACCGTTCGTCACCCGGCTGCAGTAAATTTGTTGTTTTTGAAATCAATCCTAGAGTTCTGATAACATGTTAGTGTGGTCCGGTGATTTGATTGAACCGTCACCCAGCAGCAATTGATGATTTCTTGGGAAGCCTTAGGTTCTCGCAGATGTAAATCACGAAAGCTAGATTCTGGTAGCTGAAGTCCATTTTGGTTTAACAACATATTGGCAGGGACTGGAAGTGCCAACCACGTGAAACTTCACAGTGAAATTTCTCCCTTATTTTGTTTGCTTTGCATGCTTGACGGGCATATGGCATGAGGTACAGAGCACAGTCTCACGCTGTCAAAGCTTGAGACAGGGTATAGGATTGTAGACTAGGCCCAGCACAGATTGGCTCTTTGACCGGTGTAAAAAGCAGACCCTCTTCAAGTGTCGGCGGAGTTGCTGCTCCAGCTAGCGCATGTAGAGCCCAATGGCCAGCCATCGCTATCATGATGATTTGATGATGGCTCATGTAAACAACATGACTCTTGCAAGAGGTGCCCCAACTGCGCCTGTTCTGCGCATGGCAGAGCAGATGTCTAGGAAGGTAGCGCCCTCCTGTGATGGAAAATTCATGAAATTTCAATTTCTTTTCGTTTGAAGATTACATCGCGTTGAGAAGCAGATTTGCAGGTGAAGCAGCAAAGTACAAAAGGTTACTTGACCGTGATCTGTTGAGGAATTCTCAGGATGGAGTGAGCAAATTTCAGGCGCATTTTGTGCCCAGAACATTGTGAAGAATCCGAAGCAGTGTTTTCGTACCCTCTCATCAGTTCATGAAGATGAACAGGGGTCTAATGGATTTGCAACGGCAGATGACAAGATTTCAGATTTCCGAAAACGGATTCACTGAATCATGGACGGATCCTTTGCCAGACATGGAGATCACACATCCAGACGTGGTTGCAGTGGTATCTCAGCATAGACAAGCTCATGAACAACAACAGCAACAACAGGTTGACGTTGCAGCTGCCACACCAGGTGGAGCTGCACACCAAGGAGCTCCCTGGACCCATGAGCTGACACTGCAAGAGCTCAATCAGATCACAACAATGACAGACGCGCTGTACAGAGACAAGCATTTTCCTGGAGTGGCGATTGTCAGGATTGTTTTTTAAAATACTTTCGCAAGCATTGTGACACATCCAGGTAGACAACTAGATCAATACAGCATTGCTGAGCTGCGGGGTCTATTCTTGGAGATGTCTTGCGCGACCAAGACCGCAGTCGACAATCCAATGGTTAAACCATCTGCCACTGGGCAGACAAGATCCTTGTTGTGGAAGATGGTGGCGTTGATGGAACTGATGGCTTTGAATCTGAAGATGATGATGGTGCAGAAGGAGTTCTGCATGCTTTAGAAGATGTTTTCTGGGTCTATGATGACATTGGCTTCACATGGTATCAGGGAAGGTCCTAGGTAGACAGACCAGAAGATGCAAAGGAAAAGAGACATGGAAAAGGAAAAGGCAAAGGCCGAGCAGGAAGACGATTCTTCAGACCAGCAAAGGAAAAGGTAGAGCAATAGGCACAAGAAAAGGCAGATCTTACATGTTGAGTGAAGAAGGATATGCCAAAGCATGGCACGACACAGAAGACTGGCATGAGACATGGAGTGATGGCTGCTGGGCGGAAGAACAACAATGGAACGATGGCTACTTGGCCGATGGCAGTCTGTGCTACATGATGAGCATGGATACTTCCCGAAGAAAAGAACAGGAAAAACAAGGAAAGCACGAAAGGCGAGGATGATGAAGGCAAAAGTGGAAAGCCAGGTGATGCAAAAGGCGAGTCCAACTAGTTTCAACCTTCGGCCTCATCAACTCCTGAACAGCAACAACAGCAACAAGCCCAGTTGTCTTCAGCAGCATCAAGTTCAGCAGCTCATTGTTGTATCTGCCGAGACTGAACCTGCACGTGCGGATGTCCTTGAGGCAGTTTTCAGCTTATGAAGAGCAAGAATGCAAGCACAGAATTCGACGTTGTGGACAGCCAAAACATGCTGCTATGGGACGCCTAGACAGAGAAGAGGCTGCCCAGCTGCCTGTTCATGTAGGTGAAACTTGGCACAGCGCCCCAAAGGCAATGCCAGTGTTGGTCGGCCTTCAGCTACAGCATTCTTCATTGAAGCAAGATGAAGAAGGTATTTCATACTTTGTCATACTTTCATACTTAGTCATACTTCATGACAAAATATTCATATTCCATGAGCATGGGGAGACCGAGGTCACTTCGGACAGAAGGTGGAGGGGCCGCCTGAAGACAGAAGTGCCCTACTCTCTTCATGCTCAACCAGCTGTTCATTCGTGTGGGCTCCGTTCAAAAAGGGCGGTTAGGGTTTTTGTCTTCAGGAGGTCAGATTTCCTTAATCACATCTGTGTTTTCTCTTTCATATGAAGCGGGCCCGCATCAGAATCAACAGCTCAGCGCTAGCTTCGCGCTAGCTACGCACCAGAACTTTTCTTCAGTAGTTGTACTATCGCAAGTACTATTACTTTATGGCTCCTACTACAACTGCTACAATACTACAACAACAACTACTACTACAACTACTACAACTACTACAGCTACGACAACTACTACAACTATTGCAACTACTGCAGCTACTACAAGTACTACAACTACAACAACAACTAACTACTACTAACTAGTAGTTGGTAGTTGGACGTAGTTGGTAGTTTGTATATTAACTACCAACTACCAACTAGCCCAGCCTGTAGCTGGCTTGAAACGTGGGCTTGGGGGCGGGAAGGGGGCGGTGCACGGCAAGGTGCTGGAAAATGGAAAACGGGTGTGTGGAAAATGTGGGGTTCAAATGGCGTAAAACTGGTGTTTGTGCCTGGTGTTTGCAAATCCCGTTTGCGGTGCCAAAACTTGCTTACCCTGAGTCTCCGGAATTACTAAATTTAGGTAAAACTAAATTTACGTAAATTGGCGCTATTTAGGTAAAAAAAATGTTAGTCTATTTTTTGTCACCTAAATTTAGGTTACGACCTATATAAATTAATTTAGGTTACAACCTAATTTACTTTAAGTCGTAACTTCAAATTTTGGACGAAGCTCGTGTGCTGCATGTATCATGTGCTCCCGCCTCCGCCGCCGTGGACTTATCATCGCCACTCTCATCACAGCTCCACTTATCACATCACAACTTCTCATCACAACTCATCACAACTCATCACAACTTATCACATACCAACTCATCACAGCTCCACTTCTCACCCCTCACTCATCACAGCTCCACTGCTCATCACAACTCATCACAGCTCCACCTCTGACAGGTCCCACTTCTTTTCACAACTCATCACAACTTATCACACCCAACTCATCATAGTTCCACTTCTCACACCTCACTTCTCACAGCTTCCTTATCACATCACAACTTCTCATCACAACTTATAACATCACAGCTCTTCACAACTCCACTTCTCACACCCCTTCTCACACCTCACTTATCACATCAGAACTCATCACAGCTCCACTTCTCACACCTGACATCACAAGTCCACTTCTCACACCTCACTTCTCACACCTCCCCCGAAGTTTACATTAACCTTAGATACATAAATGCTTGACATGTGGGGTTATCCGGTCCTTTCATTTGTTTTCGCAGCGGTGGCATCTTTCCTTGTACAAGGCTTGCCTCCCCTTGACAAATTCATGGCAGAAGAAAATGAGCATTACGGCACCAGCGGAGTGGCACCTTTGCAAGTGCCAGAAAAAATGCTGGACACCCCCTTGGACGCTTCTACTTGCACCAGCTGCAAGAAGCCCGTGAACGAGGAGAACAGCGTCGTCTTGGTGCGCTGCCCCAAGAAGATACCTTTGGCCAGGAGGTGCAAGGCTTGTCATACGCTGAAAAGCCGCATCAACCATGTGATGACCAAGCACGGCAACTTGGCCCAGGACTGGACAAAGGTGACGGAGGAGCAAAAGCGGGAGTTCTACAAGAAGTATAGAGAGCCCATGGGGGAGGACTTGATGGCCCGCATGCAAGAAACTGTCACAGAGTCCAAGCGTATTTCCTCTTCTGTGGAGTTCGAAGGGGCTGGGGACTACCTTGACGAGGTGCGGCAGGTGTGGCTCTATGAGGATGTCAAGTACAAGCGCACAGCCAAAGATTCCGAGGAAGTCAGCCGCACTGACAAGAGGAAACGCCAGGGAATTCCCACTGACCAGTGCCAAGATGCAAACGCAGACGCATCAGGGTCTGGAGGCAGTAAGAACTAGACGACGGTTGGCCCGAGAGCGAAAAACACGTCCTTCAAGCAGCTCTGAGTATGGTAGTCGTAAAAAATAGTCGGTGAATGGTTGGTGAATTTGATATGAGCTATGGAGGGGAAAGTTGTGAAATTACACACAGACGCTTTTACACACAAACACTTTCACAGACGCGTTTACACACAGAGACTTTTACACACAGACGCTTTTACACACAGACACTTTTACACGCAGACGCTCTTACACAGAAGCTTTTACACACAGACTCCTTTACACACAGACGCTTTCACAGACGCGTTTACACAGAGACTTTTACACACAGACGCTTTTACACACAGACACTTTTACACGCAGACGCTTTTACACACAGAAGCTTTTACACGCAGATGCTTTTACACACAGAAGCTTTTACACACAGACCCTTTTACACACAGAAACTTTTACACACAGAGGCTTTTACACGCAGATGCTTTTACACACACACACACACTTTCATACACAGAAGCTTTTACACACAGAAGCTTTTGAAGAGTGTCTCTATATGACATTTTATGGTCCTGAACTCAAACTGTTCTGTTTTTGACATCAAGCACATGATGGCATCGAGCTCTGTTGCAAACGTTTGCAGACATTTCACTAGTGAAGTATTGTCACATGTGTCATTTACAGCATCATGGTACCGATCTTTTTTGGGCCAAGTATGTGGGATTTTCCATAATAAAATGAAATAACATGTGTCATACGCAGCATCATGGTACCGAACTTTTTTGGGCCATTTATGTGGGAATTTCCGTACTAAAATGAAATGACATGTGTCATACACGGCATCATGGTACCGAGCTTTTTTGATAGTTTCTGTGGGATATTCCCAGAATAAAATGAGATAACGCGTGTCATTTACTGCATTATGGTATTGGACCTTTTTTTTTTGTGCAAACGTTTGCAGACATTTCACTAGTGAAGTCTTGTCACATGTGTGATTTACAGCATCATGGTACCGAGCTTTTTTGGGCCATTTATGTGGGATTTTCCATAATAAAATGAAATAACCTGTGTCATACACAGAGGCTTTTACACACAAACGCTTTTACACGCAGATGCTTTTACACACACACACACACTTTCACACACAAACGCTTTTACACACAGATGCTTTTACACACAGAGGCTTTTACACACAGACGCTTTTACACACAGACACTTTTACACACAGACACTTTTACACACAGAAGCTTTTACACACAAACACACACACACACGCTTTTATTTTACACACACACACTTTCACACACAGAGGCTTTTACACACAGACGCTTACACAGAGACTTTTACACACAGAAGCTTTTACACCCACACACACATACACACACACACGCTTTTCTTGTACACACACACACACACTTTCACACGCAGAGGCTTTTACACACAGACGCTTACACAGAGACTTTTACACACAGACGCTTTTACACACAAACGCTTTTACACAAAGACGCTTTTACACACAGAAGCTTTTACACACAGACTCCTTTACACACAGACGCTTTTACACACAGAAGCTTTTACACACAGACACTTTTACACACAGACGCTCTTACACAGAAGCTTTTACACACAGACTCCTTTACACACAGACGCTTTTACACGCAAACGCTTTTACACACAGAAGCTTTTACACACAGGCGCTTTTACACACAGAGGCTTTTTTACACACAGAAGCTTTTACACACAGGCGCTTTTACACACAGACGCTTTTACACACAGATGCTTTTACACACAGACGCTTTTACACACAGAAGCTTTTACACACACACACAGACACTTTTACACACAGACGCTCTTACACACAGAGGCTTTTACACACAGAAGCTTTTACACACAGGCGCTTTTACACACAGACGCTTTTACACACAGACGATTTTACACACAGACGCTTTTACTCACAGACGCTTTTACACACAGACCCTTTTACACACAGACACTTTTACACACAGACACTTTTACACAAAGAAGCCGTTACACACAGAAGCTTTTACACACAGACGCTCTTACACAGAAGCTTTTACACAGAGACTCCTTTACACACAGACACTTTTACACACAGACGCTTTTACACACAGACCCTTTTACACACAAACACTTTCACACACAGAAGCGTTTACACACAGACTCCTTTACACACAGACGCTTTTACACACAGACGCTTTTACACACAGACGCTTTTACACACAGACGCTTTTACACACAGACGCTTTTACACACAGCCGCTTTTACACACAGCCGCTTTTACACACAGCCGCTTTTACACACAGCCGCTTTTACACACAGACGCTTTTACACACAGACGCTTTTACACACAGACGCTTTTACACACAGACGCTTTTACACACAGACGCTTTTACACACAGACGCTTTTACACACAGACGCTTTTACACACAGACGCTTTTACACACAGACGCTTTTACTCACAGACGCTTTTACACACAGACCCTTTTACACACAGACACTTTTACACACAGACACTTTTACACAAAGAAGCTGTTACACACAGAAGCTTTTACACACAGACGCTCTTACACAGAAGCTTTTACACACAGACTCCTTTACACACAGACGCTTTTACACACAGAAGCTTTTACACACAGACACTTTTACACACAGACGCTCTTACACACAGAAGCTTTTACATAGAGACTTTTACACACAGACACTTTTACACACAGAAGCTTTTACACACACACATGCACACACACACACGCTTTTTTTTTTTACACACACACACAGAGGCTTTTACACACAGATGCTTGCACAGGGACTTTTACACACAGACGCTTTTACACACAAACACTTTCACACACAGAGGCTTTTACACACAGAAGCCTTTACAAAGAGACTCCTTTACACACAAACGCTTTTACGCACAGACGCTTTTACACACAGACACTTTTACACACAGACTCCTTTACACAGAGAGGCTTTTACACACGGAAACTTTTACACACAGACACTTTTACACACAGACACTTTTACACAAAGAG